AAAACAAATTACAGTAAAGGTTAAATCCTCCCTACAAAAGGAGCGCCTACGACTCCTTTGAGGATTTGATTAGATGCAGTTTGAGTTCACCTTAATAAAGCTGGTAACTTGGCAACACCGGAACTATTTGTTTGAACATTTGATTACTAGCAGAGCTCAGGCCCAGTTGAACAGCATTTACATTGTCTCTCTTCACCTGAAGCTGCCATGAAGGGATAAAATGGCTTCTTTTTTTTTCTTTTTTAATTAACTGAAGGCAAATGTTGTGTTGATTTGCAAACTTTCTGCTTCCTTCCAGGATATGTTTGAGTTCCTGTTTGTCTTTAAACACACTAGGTGATGCACTTTGCTCTCTATAGATGGACAAACAGAACCAACCAGCTGAAGTAATACCAGTGGAAAGATAAACGGTAGTGGTTGTCAAGCCATTTGTTCCAGTGTTGCAAATGGCCGACTTGCTGTTTCTGTGGTATTTCCGAGCAGAAACGGTTCATGGTGGACATCTTCCCAGACCTGTCGCACTCTGAAACATCCCATAACTTTGTGGTAGATGGAAAATGCCTTCAGAATTGGAAAATGTTTGGTGTAAAAGTCAGGTTTTGCTATCTGGTGTCCATGACAACCCAATGTTGAAAGTCAGGTTCTGTTGAGAGCTCACCATTTTACAGGCCTCAAAGTGAAGATTTGAACAGCTTGTCAGGGCAAAAAGAACTTCTGCTCTTCATTATTATAAAATGTGGATTTGAGACCATTTTGTGTAAGCAGAACTTGAATTCTATGAACATTCTCTAGCTAGCTGTAATCTGGAAACTGTTTCAAAGGGAAGATGTTCACTGTTCATAATCTCAGACTGTCACGTGAAACAAAAATAACTGTTCTCCTGGGGGAACTAGACGTGTTTGGTATTTTACTAAAAAAAAGTGACTTTTTTTTTTTTTTCCTTGTCTGAATCCCAGCAGCTTTTATGTCTGACGCTTTCACCGATTCTATCATCTGTACGCTGACTCATTCTCAAACTTGTTTGTGCAGGATGCTGTTTACAAGGCCGACTCTGGTGGGTTTACTCCACACCACCATGTCTGGAGTCGGCCTCGTTGTTCCTGAGTTGGCACTGAGAGATTTTAATATCCAGGAGCTGACTGTGGATTAGTGTCATCAAATCAAAATTGGATTGGCAGGTGGGGTCCACTCATTCAAGCCTTTAAGATGGGCTTTACTCATAACGTCCCACCTCTAAGGAGAGGCCGCTCCAATAAGGACGGGAAGGTTGAGTCCAGTAGATTTAATCCTCTAACATTTCTATTAAAAACTTCAAGCAGATATATAAACACCTGGGGGCTAAATAACTTTACGGTGTAATTGAAGCTGAGCCGTTCAGTTCAGGCACATTATTTCCTTCCTGAATGAATGAATGAGTTTCCTCATGGACACAGTGCAGCCAGGCCCCATCTGCAGTGAAAAGGAGCAGGCCTGGCTCTAAACGAACTGCTGCTCTGATCGAGTAATTAAGTCCAGACACAAAGGGCTCAGCAGGAAGGAGTCTAATAGAGGAGGAGCTGCTATTCTCTAGGGACCAGTTTGGTCCAGCAGGACCCCTCTGGACTCCAACAAAGGGGGTTTACTGGCCCACTGCCACTTAACAGGGAGGTCGCTCAGCTTTTGTGTTGCCTCAAGTTATTAATAAAGAAGAAAATCGTTGCATTTGCAATGAACTGATTAAATCCAACGTTGGAAGTATGGCTGAAAAGTTGATGGAGAGACTACGACTGAGTATTAGGGCCACGCTAAAGAGTTTTAAAAAAATGAATACAACAAAATCGAAATAATACGAGAATAAAGTCGTATTACAAGACATATTGTGACTGTATTTTTGCTTGTATTACAACTTCTCAAAGTATGATTTCACGAAATATTGACTTCATTGCATTACGACTTTCTTCTCGTATTCTTTCGACTTACGTTCTCACAATATTATGAATTTATTCTTGTAGTACTATGATTTTTATACTTGTATTCTATTTTATTCTCATGATTTCTCATAATGACCATATTACGGCTTTATTCTCGAAATATTGACTTCATTCTTATATTATTACGACTGTTTTCATATGCCTTTGACTTCTTGAAATGTTCTCGATTCTCAGATTATTGCGACTTATTCTTTCGACTTTATTCTCGTGATATCAGACATAAATCGGGATACGACTTCACATATCGACTTTATTCTCGTAAAAGCAGGACTTTATTATTGTAATTTATATTTTTCCTTAGCCTGACCCTAATCATTAACAAAACGGTAAGTGATTTAAGGAAATTTGCTTTAATTTTTGTTTCCTACTTTAGGTTCACACTTGCACATAACATGGTACACTGACAATTCAAGTGTTTTAGGATGAAATAAAAAAAATCCCTGGAGGGATGAAGAGCCTTAGGTGCAGGCTTGCGTTTTATTTGTATTCATTTTTCTATCTTTAAGTCACTCAGCGGCAAATCAAAAGTCCGTCACCGCCTGAACCTTCACTTATTACGTAATGCCCTCTTCTCCTGAGTTTCTGCACGAGCGCCTGCATGCTTCAGCGAAGCGCCGTGGGCTCCCTGAGCGTGCCACGTGCAGCGTGTTTTGATGACGGAGCATCGTGGATGTGCTTTGCTGTCTGGAATAGCCCCAATCCTCTTAAATGATTATTGGCTACAACTAGAGAGCAGTGCGACGTATGCGTGTGTGAAGTGGGAACACGCATGTCTTCACCCCTACTGAACGCTAAAAAGCACAGACGGGATCTAAGTTTAGTTCAGGCTGCAGGGCAAACCGGGGCTCGTGCCGCTTACTCTACCGTAAACTTAGAACGGTTCAGTCTGAAAATGTCTGTAATTTCACTCCCAGAGTGAACTACAGCTTCCTCCCACTAAACCTGACTCTGGTTGTTCTCTGGCAGGTTTGTCTGCACAGTCCACTCCGCAAACCCTTCTTCTTTAGGAATGTGGTGTGATCTGGTTTGTGAATGTTCCAGCCTGCCCTTAATCACGTTCCTTCTTTACCGTTTGTCTCTTTCTTACCCAGGCATTGCCGTTTCATTCCTTCCTTATTTATTCTCTGGACAAAGCACTTTAGCCTTAAGGTATATAATGATATCTGAGTATGTATGAAGTATTTTCTGTGAACTATGGAGATCAGTTGTAAGATCTCATGTTTTGGGGGGTTGGATTACTGCCGACGACATATTCGCGTTTGTAGATAGATTTTTACCCAGAATGCAAATGGAAAAAACCGTGAGCGAAACGGTGACTGGTACTGACTAGTATATATTCCATTGAGGGAAACTAAGTTTCATATCTGCTCAAGAGCCCCCCTGGTGGTTGAAGAAAAATCCACATATGTATGAAAAAAAAAACACTGAATGCGCTCTGGTATTGTTCAGGGGGCCGGACCAAATGAGGAGGCGGGCCGGATCTGGCCCGCGGGCCGTAGTTTGGGGACCCCTGCTTTGGAGTGTCAAAAGGGAAATTAATTTTAGAATAAAGCTATCACTGTGTAGACATGTTTGTCAAATGACCGTTGAAGAATGTGCGTGGTAGATCTCCAGGTCAATCAGTGTAGGGTACCATTCTCGGCTTCTGCAGCATAACAAAACCATTTTTTGTTTTTGTCTTCTCTCTTGGCTTCAGTTCTCCCACCCTCCTCTGCTCTTGACATTTGACCGCATGTGTGGGCCCCTTTCATGCTCCAGATGCACACAACTGGAGTTCTTGCCAAACATTCGTCCTCTTTTCCGTTGTTGTTGAGCGGTCACCCCTCATGAAAGCCTACAGAGCTTTCTGGATGCTTCTCTGTTGCAACTCTAAAGGTCTTTCTACCACTGCAAGCCCTGAGGAGGTTTCCAGAGACTTCTCTGGCGTTGTCATCAGTAGCTGTTTCCATTACAAATGTGTGCAAGTCTTTGTCTAGTTTCTGCAAATGTCGCGAAAACAGAATTGTGCAATTACTGTGTTTCTGGTTAATAAGGATGTAAACGAAACTCAAACTTGAATGAGCGTGTTCATGCGATAAATCATGGCAGGGACGGATGTAAACATTTACATGAGATTTTAATCATCCAGCCATGGTGCTAGCGCCTTCAGCTGTTATTCAAACATTGGAGTGACAAACCCCTTGTATTTGGGAGCTTACATATGCAGCATTTAGGAAACTGGTTTTCTGTAGTTTTACAGAAGACTCAGAATTTTTTATGAACTGAGATTTCTGGTGGAACTAGATGAATAGCCCAGGAAAAAAAAACATAATCCTCCTCCTACTTCCTGTTGTCTTTTTTGCCAGTGGTAACATCTGTCTATTGGTCACGTGACTCGGGCGGAAAGTCTTTCCATTGCAGTTTTGCAAAATACATACTTTTCAATGTGGCTGAAAAACCACCTCATCCTACTGCAAAAAATTGTCTTATCGAAAACAAAATTAAGCAAATTTATTTTAGTTATTTCAATTGGCGCAATTCTACGTTTAATGGAAACACAACTAATGTGGCTGAAAAAGGAAGGCTGCTGGAAGTCAGCTTGGCTTATTTGAGCAGTGAATCTCAAACAAGCCCGCGGTCATTGAAGCAGCTGTGGCAAAGCAAACACCTGACTCACTCGTAAGACGTCACCTGCGCTTGCCCTTTGCGCCTCAAGTTTGCTCATTCTGCAGCAGCTTTGTTTGACTCCTCGGTCCAGACAGAGTTCAAACCGGGAGGTGTGTTGTTGTTGGTGGGGGGGGTCTTAGAGGAAGTGGCAGTAAATCACCTCCTCTACCCAGTCTCTTTCCGTTTCATTGCATCCCGATCGGGGAGTTCCTGGGTCGTAGATGAGACTGGTTGTTAAGAAAACAATGGCTGCTTTGTGTTGGGGTCCTGCTGTGAAAGGATTGGTGGGGGGCACATAGATGGTCAGGGCTTAGTGAACCGTAGCCACTTCATTAGTCAGGGTTCTCCTTGTGCACCTCCTCCTCTCATCCCTTTCTCTCTCTCTCCCTCCCGTCATTCCCTCGCTGGCGTTCCCTCCAACCAGTCGTGGAAGCGGAGGCAGGAGCTGCTCTGGCTGAACATATCTGAACACGGTGCAGGGACCTGACTCTGTTAGTCCACCATGTGTCCAGTAGGCTGACAGGAGTTGGACGCTGGACAGGTTTCTTCAGTAGTTTGAGTTGTTTCTGTTCTGCGGTAAGTGAGATGTCAGACTCTCCTGTCTACTTGCATCTCTTCTTTTCTGATGTAGCACTCTCTGTTTAGGTTAGTTTTTACTTTATTAGTCCCGTCACTCTGCTTCAGTAGAAAACATGTTATCTGAATGCAGCACAAGAGTTTTTGCTGCTGATATTCATAAATCTGGGGTGAAAGCAGATCGTGGAGAGGGGGTTGGTATTCCAGGACTATTGTCTCAGCTGTGTTGACCAAATCAGCTCTGTTATTAGGATCTGTGTGCTCGTGATTGCTTCCCCACACCCACTCCCTCTGTGTCAAACACACTCCCCACTGGGACCGCTGAGTGTCGGGGTAAGACTTGTGTGGGAAAACTGGAGAAACCAGCTGTGTCACTTCCTTTGAGAAAAGTCTGAAGGTTCAGTAAAAACAGATGCTCCTTGCACCATTTGATGCTGTGAGTTTTAAACTAATTTATTCCATTTTTAGTCATTGTAGTTACTAATTATTCAGAGTTAATGACATGATTCCGAACACTTAAGCACATCTGCGATTCTAGAAGAAGGTAACTGAGTTTTTCACTCTGCAACAGCATCTACCCTGAAGTGTCACAGCAAACCGGTTGCCCTGATCGGTACATTTACGAATAATAAGGCTGTAAAATTGAAATGATTTTTCTGCTGTCATAACCTTTTGAATGATTAATATGGCAGATTCCAAGTTTGGGATGGGCTTCTACTGAATGCTTACTGCTCAAATAGTCAAATTATTTTTTTATCCATCTTTGAGATGTGATACATCCTGCTATGTGTTGAAACATTTTAATAAGCAACTTCCTTCCTGGTCATTCATTGATTTAAACAAAGTGTGCTCATTTATATCCTTTGACCTCATTAAAAAAACAAAACATGGACAAACTCGGTTTTCCAAGTCGAGCTTATTTTTATACAAAAAAATAATCTTACTGAGGAATTTTCACTGCCTTTCAAAACAAAAAAGTTACAATTTAAAGTCTTTTGAAAGTGGAAGGTACAAAACAAAGTACTATATATATATATATATATATATACACACAGTTTTATGTATTTTTTCATTAATTGTCTTAATTAACAGGACTGCAAACACCCTGTGACTTTCATTCAGTCACATTTTGCCACACCCATTACGTAACACTGAACTAAATAATAATAAAAGGTGTTTTTTGAACATTCGTCTTTGAGAATACACGCAAAAAAATTCAGACAAGTATCTCAGAAAATGATCGGAAATTGGTGCGTATTGTTTGCAGATGTTGCGTTTCAGTTGTACGATGACTTATAGCTCCCTGTTCTATAGAAATCAGACTTCATTATTTCATTAAAGTATTGTTTTGTTTACAGGCAAGTGGGAAAACTTTTTGCAAAAAGCCTGACATTATTATTATTTTTTTTAAATATCTACATTTTGTGGACCTCAATCAATTTCAACGTGACTGTTTTAGCTGAAAAGTTTGGACGCAGTTGATCTAAATAAGTTTCTTCATGTTTTGTAGCTGCTGTATTATAAGCCTGGCGGGCCACCAGACTCTACTTGCGCCCACCAGGCTTAGAATGGTTTTATTTACATTTGCCTTTAAGACCTTTTAGTAGGTGTTGGGCATTGTTGACAATGTCTTCCAGTAATTCATAATTTCCCAGTGATATCTTCAGACTGCCCTGCTAACACCTCCAGGCTTAGCAGGTTCTCTGGGGGAAACTCTGCCCTAAAGATTTGTCTTTATCTCCACAGAATGAAGAAGTGAACTTCTGGTGAACACAATCATGGCTGTCCAGACTGGCATCCAGGTAAGAGCCTGCTTGTTTCACTCAAAAGTTCAGTTTGACGACAACAAACTGTCACATTAGTAAGGGAAAAACAAATCTAGTCATAAACCATCTGGGTTTTTCAGTTCAGATCATCGCAGTAATAAAGACGAATTAAGCAGCTGCTTCAAAACCACCTGTGTCCCAGCATGCCATGCTGCTGCTGTTGTGCCTGTCTGGCGTTCCTAAGCTCCCAGCCTTTAGTTGTTTTCCCCCCTCCACATCTTGTAGGGAGTGGGCGGAATGCTCCTCACTTTTTCCCTTTCCCCTCCCAGCGATGAATCGCAAGTCGTTCCCAAACCCAGAACAACAAGCGGATCGAGTTACAGCCTTGTCCCCGTTCGACACCTCCTCGACCGGCGCGCTCCTCTCATCTGCTCTGGAAAAGCCAGGACTCTCACATTCCCACCACTGTTGGCTTGTGGGAATGTAAAATATGCTTCCCAAGTGCTGATGGCATAACGTGTGGCGGGAAGGGCCGCAGCACGGCGCGGATGTTCTGCAGTTTTAAACGCAGCAGATGGATCCTAAAGATCATGTTACAAACGGTCTCTGTGGACGAAATGGAAGCTTTGATTTTACTAATCAATGTTTTATTTTATTTTCTTTTGGGGTTGGGGGGTGTTAAAGTGAAGTGAGCATAGAAAGTGGCTGAATGTTTCGGTTATTCTGGGTCTGGAAGGTGAGCTGTGAGGATGCAGTGATGCTGCAGCCTCACTGCGCATGTAGAGCACAGTCAGATCAGATATCTGCTCAGCCATGCTGAACGTGAAATGCATTCATGGAAGTATAAATACAATCTGTAAAGGGAAGAACTGCTGCAGAATCCACCGGAAGCTTTAGTTTGGGTTCCGTTCGGCACTTCCAGACATTAAAACCTGTATAATTATACAATGTAAAGGGATCTGTCCCGACGAAATCCAAAGCTTTACAATGAATGCCTTCGTCTGTAATGAGCATTTTAGGACTTGATGTGAAAAGGACTAAAGTAAACAGCTCAGGCTTAGTTTAAAGGTCAGTTAGCAGGTCGTGGGAGGAAACCAGCTTGAAAGTTGTGAATTTGCTACTTTGAAGCAGATTGTTTGGAGGTGGAACATTTGTGTCGCATTGAAAAATGTAACTGATTGTTGTTGACGCTGCTGTTCAGATGATTCATAGACATGCAGCAGGGGGAGGAGCTTATGAGAATTTTTTTTTGTCATGTTTTTCTTTTCCATCTGATGGCTTGGTTTCCCTTTAGAAAGTTTTGATGTGCTTAACTTGAGCCACTTAAGATTAAACCACCTTTAATTAGCGATTAAAGGTCAGAATGTTTCAGGATCTGGGGCGTTTGGATTACGAGTCCACATTCCTGTACCCAGTGAGATTAACTCAGAACGGCTCTATTCTGTGGGCATTTAGATTCCAATGTTAAGCTGTTCTCACTTTCACTGAGAATATCTGCAGAGTTGTCACAGGTTGGATTTTCCATTTGATTTTCTTTGAAATGATGTGACACTCACTCAAACCATCCTCAACCCTGAACAACGAAATGCTAAAACCAAAACGTGCATCGTTTGTCATCTCATTCATAGTGCTTTTTTGCAGCCTCAAAATTTAATTCTCACCCATTATGGATCTAGAACTAAACTAAAAAATATCTATTAAATCTTATCTCAAACAGATGGTTCAATCTTTCTCAGTTTTAAAAGTGACTAAAAGATTTTTGCCATCTTTCCTGTAATTTTTACAGCAGGGAAAGTAGGAAGTTGCAGATTAGTGATCCCCCATCCCCACATCTCCTAAACATCTCAACAGTCTGGCCCATCTAATTATTAAAAAAAAATGTTTTTGACTTGAACTTTGAAAAAGTAGAAACAAAGGTTTACTTCCTAGGGTGAAAGCATTGTCTGTAATCCTGAGTTGCAACAAGTTCTTTTTAGCGTCATCATCATGTCGACCTCACGGCTCTGCTCCACTGAGGCCTGAGTCGCTCCCAGTCCATTAATCTGGAACAGAACAATCTGCAGCAGGGCTGCTTCGGTGTAGAACGGACCGTCTGTTCCTCTGCCCAGAAAGTTTCCTGTTTGTCGGCCGGGGCCACGCCATGAATTCGCCGCCTTGTTCCGCAGCACAACCATCCATTGAGCTGCGCGTCTCAGCAGCGCCTGATCACATGCAAACGACACCAAGATTAAAGGCCGTATCTGAAGCAGATGTCAACAAGCTGCATGGCAGGAAGAGGGAGGGGTCCATCAGCAGCTGGTTACGTAACGTACGGAGATGTCAGAGTGGACATCTGCAGCTCATTCTTAGGTTTCCCCCTCGGACCGCCGGGAAACTGGAAAATCAGCCAGTGATGGGAATGTGGAGGTCCCCTGCTTCTCAGTCTGAGTTTTACAACTTTGTATTGGGGCCATTGTAGATGGAAGGAAGGGAAGCAAAGGAGTAAATTTCCATGAAAAACTCCTATTCTAGAAAAAAAAAAGCAAGGACATTTGAGCTCCAGAAGTCAGAAAGTAGTTTGAAAAAGACTCAAATTTTAAGATTCTGAATTTTTATTTTTTAACCTTTGGAAATTTGAGTTACAAAAGTCAACTTTTTGAAATTCAGAATTTTTTTTCTATTTCTAGAAAAAATTTTGACTTTTTAAATTCAAATTTTAAGATGCATCTCAGACATTTTCTAGGGGGGAAGGAAAGGAAGGTTTAGGAGTTTTTTGGGGGCAGAATGTACTTTTAAAATTTTTTTTTTTTTTAAATATATATACATTTTGTTCAGAGCCATAAAACTGATAACTCCTCCCTCCCCCCCGCACACACACACTTGGTTTCCCTGTGTGACAGACTTTGAGTGACCAGATGAGGATGCTGACTGGGTGAGGCAGTGTGTGACAGCAGGGATGGATATGATCAGACTTTGGCTTCAGGCACAAAGGAGCACATGTTGGGAAAGTACAGCAGCATTAGATATGTTTTTTTTTTTCTTCCAGATTAGAAGCAACAATAACATGAGGCTGTGCAGAAAATTTATGATACGGTTGATTATAAATGGATAAAGATGGATTTGTGGCTTTAAGACGGAGTAACCACGGTTACTAGGTCAGGTTGGTGCACTGATCTTCAGTAGAGCTTACATGCAGCACTGTGTGAAGGCTTCACTCTGCATGGATAGCTCACACCAATTATGATCCACTAGCGTTTCCTCACACGAGGAGGAAACTGAATATCATTTGTGCTTTCGTCTTAAAAAAAGTAACATTTTGTGGTAAACATTTTCATTTTTAGGTAACTGTATGGCTGTCATCGCCCCACAGATGATGGAATGTTTTTCAAGAGTCATATTTAAGTCGCATAATGATGACTTGTATCACTGAACTGCACACAGTAACTGCTTTGAATCGCATTTTACAAATTTGATATTCTTATTGAGCAAACCATGGTGAAAATGTAAAGTTTTTTTTTTTTTTTTACGTCATTGAATTTGTCAACCAATCAAAATTCTTATGAAAAAAAAGTAGTATCCTGATGATCAATGCAAGAAATGCTTACTTGTAATGCTGCATTAGGAAAATAAATACCATAAACTAACTCTGTTTAAAATGATGCCTGTCTGAGAATGTTGAGTTAAAAATGGCTAATGAAAGAACAGAAGCACTGAAGTAAAATTCAGCTGCCCTCATCTACAGTTTTTGTGACGTTTGTGTTCCCACAGACAAATTTGGATCACAAGAAAAGGTTGACTTTAACTTTATTATTCCTATTTGATACCAACTTTTTAAGTTCCTGTATTTGCTAGCTGTGCAACAAGGCTAACAACCACTAAAAGGAAATTATTGGCCAACCAAACCAGTTAGCCTTTGTTTATAAAATGACAAAAATTTAGAAAAATGGAATGGTTTTGGGTATTTTTTTTTTTTTTTTTTCTGTTTTTGGTTTCTTTTCTATTCAGATGCTAACTTTTCTAAGTTCCTGTATTTGCCAGCTTTGCTGTGAGGCTAACGGACGCAAACTTAATTTCCACCAAAACCTTCTGTCTGTAAAATGACCTCTTTAGATTTACGGTGTTTTTAGTTGCATGTTTGTTTGTTTTTTTTGGTTTTTTTTCCCCCAGCTCAGTTGATTTATTTTGTTCTCCAGGTTTGGTTCAGCGAGAAGTTCAACGCCCCCCTGCTGAGTCCCAGGTGCCCCCGCAGCCCGTTGGCTCAGCGCCACGGCCCCGGCCTCTCCAACGTCTTCCAGTATGACCAGTGGCTGGCGGTCCGCCACGAGGCCACGCTGGTCCCCATGCAGGAGGACCTGGCCATCTGGCTCAGCGGCATGTTGGGTGGGTTTAACTTCCACATCAGCTCCTCCTCACACTCCTCAGCGGTTAATTTGTTTTTTTTTTTGTCGTTATGACACAACAAGGTTTGATCCAGTCAGTTTTCCATCTGCCTTCAACCGTAGCTGTGTGTGTGTTGCATGCCAGCAGTTCCCCCCCCAGAGGCCAGGAACGTACCGATGAACTATCAATGCGGCTCTCGTGTGTAATCAGATTTCGACGCTTCAATTTCCAAGCGTCTCTTGGGGAAACCGCAGAGCGGAACAGAATCCCTCAGTTTCTCTGCTGCTGTCATTATACGGACGCTCATTGTCCATGTGGCACAATGGAGCAGTGAGGAACCCGAAACTGACTCTATTGTTGCTGAATCAGGGTTTCACAGCCTAATGTTTGGCTGCCAGCACAAGGAATGTGGGCAGGTACTCGGCGCTCAACGTGAGTTGGTGCTCCCGTGGACAGGATGGCCTGCATTTCAGGTTTTTAGACGTTTCGAACGGCGACCCAACAGGTGGGATAAAGTTTCCAGCCCTGAGGCTGACCCCTTTGTCGGGTGGAAGTCAACTTTTACAGAGCAATCTTTGTCACTTAGTGCGGCCGTATTGTTCCCTCCGGCTTTGATTTACAGCAGAGGCAGCGTGGGAGCGCTTGAGCCCCTTGGAGGAGGAAGCGGCGGTGTTTAATGTGGCCTCCTGTTCAGGAACATGCAGAGAAAGGAAGATGTTCCTCTGGTTTGTAGCTTTTAACCGCTCTGTGGTTTTTCCAGGCGAGGAGGTGAGAGCCGAGCTGTTCATGGAGGAGCTGGATAACGGCGTGAAGCTCTGCCAGCTGATCGGCGCCCTGCAGACCAAGGTCGCCCAGACCTGCCCCACAGCGCTACCTAAGGTAAGACGTGAAAACGCATCAAAATGTTTACTTTAACATTCCACCTCCACATAAGTTTGACGTTCCGGTTCCCGTCCAGCTCTTCCCTACCAGGAAGGTGGCCTGTAAGCGCGACGCCTCCCCGGGTTCCTTCTTTGCCCGGGACAACACAGCCAACTTCCTGGCCTGGTGCCGGCACGTCGGCGTGGACGACACCTACCTGTTTGAGTCGGAGGGCCTCGGTAAACACCAGAACACGTCCAACCAGACGACTAAACTCATTTCATTTGGGACTTTTAGACAAATGTTCAGGTTTAATGTCTAGTCAGGAGAGGCGAGAAGGCTTCAGCCTGATTCCTGCAGACATGACCTCTGAGGTTGATGTTTGAAATGACCTGCCCACCAGATTTAGTGAACTATTAAACTTAGCTGTGGCTTTTACAAAGAAAGTTGAGTAACTTATTAAAATGCAGCTGTAAAGAAAAGATTCAAGTTTGAGGCCAAATGAAGCTATAATCTTTAACATTAGTCACAGATTAAAAATCTTTTTTTTTTTTTTTTAGTTTCATTAAAAGTAACAGAAGTTGCAGTGAAAATCAAGAACTTTTTCTCGACGCTCCATGTATCAGTTTGTTTAAACGGTCCCTGCTTTGCAGAAATACTCATTCCCTTTGCACTTTTTCTCATTTTGCCGCAAAGTTTAAAGTAGGTTTTTATAAGCGAGACCAACAGGAAGTAATGCTTGTCAAGTGAAAATGTTAGCCATCATACCACACTTCTCATTTTTATTTGAAAAGTATATCTGCACTCGGGTCAAAAGTTTTTTTTTTTTGTTGTTTTTTGAGGACACTGGTGAACAAAACGGCACCAAGGCGGTATGCATCAGCTGATCAAACGGAGCAGATCTGAGCTTTAAGCTTTCAGCCCTACAGATCTGAGCAGCAGAGTCCGGTTAAGCTGGACCTCCTAGTGGGATCGCTTCATTTGAGTTGATCAAACTCCAAATCCCAGTTTGGAAGGAAACCCAAACATCTGCTGCTCGAATTATTTTTTCCCAATCAGGGTCTCCCACCAGACAACCTGCTAGGCCTGTTGGTAGAGGCGTTGGGAAGGCCAGCCAGTGACCCGCCGTGTTTTTGAGTTAAATGTTTATCATTGGGCTTTAGGTACTGTTGTCTTCCAATAACGCATAGATGCCTAGTAATATTTTCAAATTTCCTGTCAGCTTTAAAGTCTTAAAGATGGCAAACATAAAAGAAATATAATTAAACTGTTTGCACTTCAGTTGTTTCACCCCAGGTGTGTGTACAGCAGTTTCCATTACAAATGTGCACAAACGTTGCCAATACTCTGGTAATATTGAAAACCCTCCCACAATTTTGCAGTTTGTGTTCCCAGTAGTTGAGAAACGCAATTAAAATCACATGTGAATAAGTTGGTTCACACAATAAGTTAAACACGCTGCACAATCATCCTGCAGCTACTTCCTGTCTTCTTGTTTGTGGTTTGCGCCACTGGCAACATCTGGCTGCTGACCATGTGACTCGTACGATGGGTGGAAAAAAGTATTTCCATTGCAGCTTTGCAAAAGTAATTTTGATATGACCAAAAAATGTTTTGTTGAAAAATGAGTTTTTCAAAATTGGTGCGTTTCCATTAAGTGAATTTGACATAAATCAAATTATGTATTGATATGGTCAATGGAGATGCAGCTAATGTCACTGTATATTTAGAAAAGAAAAAAAAAGACAAATGATGCAGGTGGGGGAGTAAAGCCTGACAGCCAGGCTTATAAAACACTGGAGAAAGCCCTGATCTGATTTTGAATTTTTAAAAAATAATTTTTATCATGTTTTTTTTTAAATCCTGAATGTTTGTCTCCTGCCTCTTGCCAACGGGTGTTTTCTCTGCTCTAGTTCTGCACAAGGATCCTCGGCAGGTGTGTCTGTGTCTGCTGGAGGTCGGCCGGATCGTCTCCAGGTGAGTTGGCCCCTCTGAACGTAGAGCCTTTGAGTCTGTCTTCGGCGCCACCTAGTCCTGACTCGTCTCCGCCTGTCCCAGATACGGGGTGGAGCCGCCCGTGTTGGTGAAGCTGGAGAAGGAGATTGAGCTGGAGGAGACGCTGCTGATGACGGAGGAACCTCCCGCCGCAGTGAAAACCTTCAGCGTGTGCTGCCAGCACGGGGCGCTCTACCAGCCAGAGGTGAGATCAGGCCCCGTTTCCCCCGACGACAGCGGCTGACCCACGTGACGCCCCGCCGGCGCTCTGACTCGGTCACATGTGCAGAGCCACGTCATCGCACACATGCGGGCGCAGATGTTGAAGCGCTCCTGAAGGGGGGGCTGTGGAGCCGGTTGGATGGGTTTACGTATTTAGTCTGGTTGAGTGGATGAGAGCGCAGCAGCAACAGTCGAGTTGATTGTTTTCCTCCCAGAGGAGACGACAGCTCTAAAAATAACCGGAGTCAGTGAAGCGGGAAATGGCTTGGATTAAAAACGGACACAGTTGGATTAATCATATTTCCAAATGCATCTGGCTTTAAACTGAGCTGTTCAGACTTTAAAAGGTTTTTTTCTTTTTTCTCCCAAAGGTATTTATTTCCTATTAACTTTTGCACATTTTGTCAGGTTTCAATTTCAAACTGTAATGCATTTCCTGTACTAAAGCGATTAAGACCCAACAAATGGCCTAAACTGATTGGTCAATCAAGAGGAGGATTATTCATAGGAGCTGAAAGGCCTGATGGAACTGGAGGAGCTGCAGAGATCCACACTTATTTTTTTAATCAATTTTTTAACAAACCGTGCTGACATTATGGGATACAATGAGGGGAATGGTAGACATTATTCGCATTAGCTGTGTTTTTATGTCAAATGTTCCGCTAATGTCGGAATACCAATAATTTCACAATTGTGGTGTTTCTGGTAAATTAAAAATCACAGATAAAAGTTTGTTCACTTGAGTCAGTGAAAAGTGTGCTGCACCGTGATCCTCCAAATACTTCCTGTCTTTGTGGTTTGCTCCAGTGGCATCATCCGGTTGTTGATCATGTGACTTATGTGATGTGAAAAAGGTGTTTCCATGGCAGTTTTGTGAAATAAACCAATTTTGGGGCTCTTAAAAAAAAAAAAAAAACACCTCAAATGTCATAGCACAGTCTTATGGTTGGTGGAAGCACAGCTATGTCCTAAGATTCGTTCTGACACTTGAAGATCCATCTTCCTTATTGACTCTAGCATTCTTCAAGCATCAGCAGTTTAAAACCTTCATTAAACCGTTTCTGTGTATATCAGAGATGATGAATGATTCTGCTGGTTTGCCCCTGCAGGAGCTCGGCATGGATGACCCACCCTGTAACTGCTCCAACAAGGTGTCCATAGAGTACCTGTCAGAGGGACGCTACAGACTGGGCGACAAGACCATCTTCATCAGAGTGAGTATCTCCGTCTCTCTGTCCCGGTCAGTTTGAACTCGGCTCTGAGTGTTTGTGTTGTTGTATCAGAGATTAGCTGCTAGCTGTTACATCCTGGCAGCTGCAGCGGTGCCAAGTTCATTGGCGTGGCTGGACACATGTAAGCTCATTAGCCAATAGCAGTGGATGGTGATTACATCACAACTCCACTGCTATTCAGGGCACAACGCCTCAGTGCAGACGGGTTAATCTGCATTTGCTATTGCAGGAGCTGAAGCGAAACGGTCACTGCTTGCCTGAAAGCTCATGGTGTGAACTTTGGGATGATGTGTGAATGTTTGTTCCCTCAGATGCTGCACGGCAAACACGTGATGGTGCGAGTCGGTGGGGGCTGGGACACCCTGAGGGGCTTCCTGACAAAGTATGACCCTCTGCGGGTGCTGCAGTTCACCACACTGGAGCAGAAGATCCTGGCCTTCCAGAAGGGCCCACCTGGTTTGGGGGGTCACCGTGCCAACAACGCTCCACCCAATCCCCCTCGTATGGACCCTCTTGCTGCAGTTAATGGCCTCATCTCCTCCTCCTCTTCGTCCTGCTCTTCATCAGCATCTCCACCCCCTGTAGGACAGAGCTGCCGGTCATACACTCCCTCCCCTGCCTGCACACCCATCCTGGCAAGGAAAGGTTCTGCTGTGGTACCGAAGAAGAACCTCCAGACAGTGCTGTCCTCTCCCAGGAAGCCCACCCAGCTCCCCCTGCCTGTCCCTACCAAAGGCTCCTCTTCTCTGCCCTCCTCACCTCTGAGCAGCTCCTACAGGCAGGCCCCCAGCCCGGGCAGTCACCGCAGAGCCCTGACTCCATCAGCTTCCCCTGTGGAACCAAAATCTGCCTCTAAGCTAAAGCCCCGGCCACATGGTCCTACCGCCCACCCCAGGAGCCCGGTCTGCCCCGAGCCTTCCTCCAAATGCCCCAAACCTTCCAGCCCATGTACCTCCCCCACTGCTGTGCACATGTCCCGCCCCACCACCGTATCTGCCCCCAAAGACGTTAAGCCTTCCTCGAGCGCCAGCCAGCGCTCCCGCCTTGCACAGAGGCGCCCTGGCTCTCCAGCGTCACGCCTCCGTCTGGAGACGATCAGGAAGGCGAGGGTGGCCACAAGGACTGTGCCGGTACGAAAAACGGTACCCCAGCAGTCCCCGACCCCCTGCTCCCAGGCTGGCTCCTCCCGTGCCCCGACCCCCTGCTCACAGGCTGGCTCCTCCCCGGCCCCGACCCCCTGCTCCCAGGCTGGCTCCTCCCGGGCCCCGACCCCTTGCTCCAAAGCTGTGCCCCCAGCAACAGTAACTTCTATCTGCTCCATGTCAAAGGTTAAAATCAAGGTGGCCTCTGCCATCCCTGGGCCGGTCCCAGGTATTGCCTCCTCTTCCTCTAAAGGTAATCAGAAGCCCCCCCCCACAGCACAGAGGACTGTGAAAAAACCAGCAGCTCTGGGGAACCCCAGCACAAAGACGACCCTGAAACCTGAAGCAACGACGACTCAAACCACAACCTCTCAGAGAAACCCAGTGAAAGCTGCAGAGAAGATCCCACAGAGCAAGGCCAGGAGTGACAAGCCGTACTTTGAATTGACCACTAGGAGGAAGCAGAGAGCCTGAAATGGCGCCATCTAAAGGCTTCATGAAACCAGCAGCACTTGTTGGAGCTCAGACTTTACATTGATATCTCTAATCTGATCATGTTTGTAATTTTGTTTTGATTATTCTTTTTAATGTTTATTTAATAGTCTTTAATTTTTTTTATCTGTGGTCTCTTTAGAGATCGGATTTACATTAATAAACTCAAACTTGCACAATGTTTACATTTAAATCATAAATGGGTTTTAGAGGGAAATTGTGTTCAACATACTACATTAAACTTTTTAGACCCAACTCATGAATATAGTTGGCTTAAGACAAGTTGTACATAAACTTCTGTCTTTCCTTAGCAGGTTACCAAAGTTGAAAAAATGACTAGAAATTATGCTTGAATTTTATTTTTTTCTTGAGATTCCATTTTCAGCTTGTGAAAACGACTGGATGTCAGGCCACCTAAAGTAATCGATGCTTCAGTTTCTCCACATTCTGTCTCAACCTAATTGCAAAATTAACCATTTTTCATATTTGGCTTCAACTCTAACTTGTCTGTTTGCCCAGTTGCTGTTACAGGAAAAACCTCCCCACAGCATGAACCTGCCACCACTGTGCTTCACAATATGGGGTAATATCAACCAGATGGTGCCTTTTTCTTTACTCTGGATCAAGGCTGCAACATAATGTGGAAAGTTGGCTGTGAATACTTTCTGGATGTTCTGAACACCAGATCCTCTTACTGCAGACCCCTTCTTGCCTTGTGCCTTTCAACAGAAATCCTCCATTCCTTCTCTTACCCACAATTGAGTGGCTGCAGAATGTATCAGAGGCCAGAAGGTGGCGCATCGAGCAGTTGACACACTTTGGACGGTGTGTGACTTGCTTTTTGAAAGAAACTACTGATGAGATGCCTTTTTTTCTTTCTCCTGAATCAAAAACACTGAGCAAACATTTAGAGCAGAATCTACTTTGTAAAACGTTTTTTGTCATTTAATTTCTTTTTGTGGTCTAAAATTCTAGTTTTTTATGGTGTTTTATCAAAATTTATTTCTTGGCACTTTATATAAACTTATGTTGAATGTCTGTTTTTGTCTGATTAATAAATGGATGTTGGTTTAAGATCATTGACTATTTTGTTGCTTCTCAAAACTGAGAATTTTGACATGAGATTTAGAATAACGATGAACTCAGCTTTCTATAATGGGGGCATAGAAAGCTGAAGAGTTTGACCTTTACAGGTGATTTTTCAGCATTTTTCCTGACCTCTTGTGGTCATAACGTGAAACTGCAATGGTACAGAAAAAGCAGTAATGAAAATATATTTAGTTCAATTTTTGGATTAGCCAATACTTTAGCATTTAAGATCAATAAGTTAGGATTGTAAGAATCATTAAAATTTTAAAATAGGAAACCAAAGATGAATGTTTAAACTAAAGACTTATAGTAAGTGGACTAAAATCCAAGGAGTTGTCTCAATCCCATTTTCAAATTACAATTCTTTCAACACCATACCCACTGTTAAGCATGGTGTTGGCAGCATTGAGTTTAAGTACTAGAAAGCAAAGGATGAAATATTTTTTTTGTAAAATGTTCTTGGGTAAAGTTTAAAAGTGAACCTTGAAGGGAAAACACCCATTTATTAAAAACTGAAGGCACTTTCATGAGTAAGGGAACAGAACAAAGTGAGCGACTAACAGCCACAATTGGTATCGACTCCTGTATTATTAGGCAGTGCAGTTAAATCACATCACAGTAGAATCTGTTCAAAAAACACTGAAGGTATTTTATTAAATATCAATACATTAAAATTCAAATGGGTTAATCTTACAAACATGTTGGCTTGTCTGAACAAAAAATATTCAATTGCTTCAGAAATCTGATCATCAGTACTCAGTCGAAAAGCTGTGTAAAAACCCCTGAGAAACGCCATGGCAACCAGGTGCTGCGATGAACTGTTGTCACATTCGCACATCTCAGATCAAATATCAGACAAAGATAACCTGGGGAAATGCACAACAACCTAATGAATAATTTTTTTAGATTTGTTGAATATGAACTTAATTAGAACCTGCTTAGCAACATGAAGTAGGACAGAAACAATCAGGACCAGATAACATCCTTCAGTCTGGAGAGAAAGAAGGAGGAAAGCGTTCTGAGGTGACTGACCTGTCAAAGTTACTCCAAAAGGGGAAAAAAATGTAATGTTTTGATGGTCAAAGTCTTGGCGAACGAGATGCTGTGGGCCAGCTGGGTTCGGATAATCTTTTTTCCGCAAATAAATGTAGTCATGATCTGAGAAGCACTTATTGTTGATTCAGGTTACCTTTGTCTGATATTAAAACATTTAAATGAACAAAAACAAATCTGTAAAGTTTCAAACACAGCATCACAGCACTAAACAATATAACATCATATAATTTAATATAATCCAGTGTGCAAAATATGAAGAAGTCTGCAGATGGAGAACCTGCTTATATGTTTAGTCTTGATTGCAGGAAGCATTTGAAAGCCTCCACAGTTCTGGATCCTGAAAGGAAGTAAAGGAAAGAAAGATGGCGGCTCCCATGTTTCATTGTACAGGTAAAAATCTGTGTTGCTTTAAAAAAAAGAGCTGAGTAAAAAGGTAGTGGTTGAAGGATTTTTGGTCTTTCTGCAGATCTTCAGTCTCGTATCGTCAGTGTTAAAAGTAATCGAATCATTTCCTGTCCGTCTGCGCCGCGACTTTGCAAAACTGCCAGCAGGTGGCAGTCTGTCACAGCAGCAGCGGTGTGTGCTCGCCCGCCGGCTCCCTCCGCCCGATGAGCTGCCGCACCCGCTCCACCAGGCGCCCGGGCAGCGAGGGCACGTGGTGGCTCGGGTCCAGCACGTTGGTCTTGCGGCGCTCGCGCTCCTGCAGCCACATGAGGTACGGGCTGGGCGGGAAGAAGGGCCGCGAGCGCTCGCGGTACAGCTGCAGCACCACGCCGCACACGCCCAGCACCACCCACACCGTGATCATGGCGTAGTCTGCAGGAGAACACAGCGCGGCGGTTAAAATCCGATCACGGCTCGTGCCGAAACAAGTCGATGAAAACTCACCGATGATTTGGAACGGTGTGTCCGTGAAGGCGGCGCTGAAGTTGTTGTTGAGGAATCGCTTCAGGATGTTGAGCGTGATGTAGGAGAGGCTGGTGTAGATGTAGGCGTTGACGGCCAGCACCACGGCGTAGGCCCCGACGACGCCGCACGTCACGATGTTTCCCTGGAGCAAACAGGAAGTGAGGAGAAGCTCAAACATGGTGGCCATTTTTACATCTAGTTAGGTTGGTGACCCACTCTGACCCTCTGTGCATCTTTATCTGGGTGGGAGAAGAATAAGCTACGATTTGCACTCATGTTGCCTTCACTGATAAACAGAAACTAGAAGCATCTAACTTACAAGCTACAAAACTAAACTTCATAAACATTCAGTTTTTCCAAATGACCATGGATTACTTGCCCACCAGGGGGCACCAGCGGTGCATTCTGATAATCTCATCCTTTTTCCATCGTCTTGCAGTAGCACCATAATTACCAGCAGGTGGCAGCATGGCACCAACTTGTTCAGTAGCTTACAGCTACAAACAAAACAATACATCCACTTTGATCCACTAAACTAATAAAGTTATTAGTAAAGGCATACATTGTCTTGCAAAAGTATTCACACCCTATAACTTTCATAATGTGTTGCTTCATATAAAAATAAAAAAATGTTGGCCTTCATGTTTATTTAATAAACCAATGCCCATACTTATTTAAACTCATCTTCCCTAATAGCTCTGACGAGTTCTCCCACAGCATCTTCCATTGCAGAAATAAAATCTGAAAAGTGTGGCTTACATTTTTACAAATCCCCCTTCACTCTGATACTCCTAAAAATAATCTAGCATAATTAGCACACGTTTTTATTTATAAAACACATGCCTTCTCCATCTGCCACAGGAAAAGTGAATGAAAGGCTGGTGTTTTGCTGCACTATCTGTGGTAACTAGGCAACGCTCACCAGACCAAGGTGCTGCCAGATAACCAGAGTGTGAAATATGTTACCTCTCTGGGCCACCGCACAAAGAAAAGCGGAAGTGTGACCATGATGCAGCAGAACGTCACCCAGAAAACCACGTCCGAGTTCCTGAACACGTCGAGGTCTCCTGTGTTCAAACGGCAACGCACAGATTTAAAAATCAAAACAAGACGAGAAAAAACAGCAACAAGGAACGGCTGCGCTGTAACGGAGAGAGAGGGGGGGATTGTACCCAGCGGGGTGAAGAGGACGACGGCAGCGACGAGGAAGCCCAGCATCAGGCCGACCACGACCACGCAGGCCATGACGGAGCCAAAGCGCCACCAGCTCATCACCAGGACAACGCCGCCCACCACGCCCACCACAGCGGACACGGTCAGCCGGACTGGGAGTGGAGAAATTGTTTTTTTTTTTAAATAAGTAAATCCCAACTTGTTGACACTGTGTGAATGGGTCAGGAAGTTGGGAGGAGGGTCTTACTGTCATAGTCCAGCTGCGTGGTCCTTGTGATGAGGATGAAGAAGAAAAACGCAGCAAAGCTGAATCCCATGCAGAACAGCTCTGAACCGCAGGAAGAGAGAAGTACAAATTAACCCAAACAGGAAGTAGATTGACTCACATTGGCTCTGTTGGCTTCCTAAAGTGTCATATTTTCATGCCTTTCTATTGTTTTTCATAGCTTGTAAGTTATTTTAAAACATGTTTCTTAAACATACATAAATGGTGATGTAGCATGTGAAACCAACGATGTTGTTTGTTAGCATATTGTTTCTCAGTTTAAAAAAAGGCTCATTTTATAGTGGTTTTTTATAAGCGTGAGCCCTCTGTTGATACAAAACATCTGTGTTCACACTCCCTTTCCATTCACTTTGTAGCATTAGGTGGATGTGATGTAGAGGCATGAAGCATCTTGAGAATTAACTCCTAAACCAGAAAAACAAGCTATAGACTGAGAAGTAAGACTTCTAGCTGCTTCCATTCACTTCTGTGTTTTGTGCAACTCCTTCACTGCCTGCTAAGATAAGCAGGGTTCGTACACTTTACACAGTAAAATTCAAGCACTTGTCAAGCATTTTCAATCCCTACCACATGACATCATTTATTACTGTTATTAACAAAGTCTTGTGGCAGTATTCAACATTCTACAGCATGGCATGGCAAACTAAACTATTATTTCACGTCACATAAAATTACTGGTAATTCTAACTAACCTAAAGATAAACTTACTTAATCTAACTTAAATGTGAGAAAAAAAATGTGCATGTCTTTAATTACGTGTACGTAAAAATCTGGTTTCAACTGTAAATGTTTTCTAAATGTGGGGTTTTAATCAAACGTCTGATTGCAATTTATTACAAAACTGCTCAGTTTGAATACCAAGCAATTTGAAGGACTTTCTGCAGAAATCAAGAACTTTCCAAACCTTAAAGAGGCCTAATTGAAATGAAGGCATTTTGAAGGATTTCAAGCATCTGTACAAACCCTGAATAAGGTCTTCAGAGTAATAATGCTGGCCAGAACTGGAAGTTTGCAAATTCTGCAAAAATGCAGTTTGAATTTTAGATGTAATCAGTAGACTCAGCAGAACGCTCGTAAATCCCTGGTTAGGGTGCCCATTTGTTAGATCTCCAAATTAGAGTTTCATCGAGGGAATTCCATTTTAAGTATCACAAAGCAGGTTCAACATCACCAAAAGATAAGAATACATCTGTTTGTGTGTCGACTCACCACATTTGAAGAATCGATGGCCAAAGAAGCAGACGAACAAGCCTGCCAAGCCAGCTATGGTGAAGAAGATTTTTGTCGATATTTTTCCTGCAACACATTCACACCTAACTTAAAATAAACTCTTTAAAACACTAATTTTAAATCAGTGGCTAAGACAGATGCTAACCGAGCGTCTGACAGCCGTCCAGAGTGGAGGTGAAGCTGCAGGCGTAGGTGTGGGCGGGAACGTAGGAGGCGGAGGTGTTCAATATGGGGTCTCTGACGATGACGGAGTAGATGACCCCCTGACCGGGGATGGAGCTGAACGCCATGGCCGTCTTATCCGTCGACTTCAGCGTCACCACCTTACAGG